TTACCCGAGATATTAAAGTATATGTTCGTAAAGTACATATGTTCGTGCCGATAATTTTTGACCAAAACTAACGTTCTTGAAGATGTGTGAGAATGTTTATTTTTCTGTACAATTATAAGCTTCCTTCCTCTCCCCCCCATCTCCCGCATATATTTGCATTGAGTTTTTAACACCATCCATCTAAAAATGTGTGCAGCTGTATAAGGTGCCTTTGGAAAATATTCTAGATCTGCTGATCTAGAAAAAAAAGTCTCGAGTTCAAACCCTTGGGCAGAAAAAACTCGATCCCTTCCAACACTAAAAATTAAGAACGAAGAAGAAGAAGAGTAAAGTTTTTCAACTACCAGGCCAGTGTCTATAGTGGCATGTGATGGTCCCGTGTATGTGTGTCGGGACATGTGTGTATGTGTGGAAGTGGGGTTCTGTGTGTGGAAGGTCCTGTTAATGTGTGTAGGGGTCCTATTAATGTGTATGTGCGTGTGAATCATGTGGATATGTGTGTGTGTGGTGTCCTGTATATGTATGTGGTAGGACCTTGTGTGTGATGGATGACGGGTGATATACCAATCAAGATGAGATTGCCCCAATACCAATCAGAAACTTCAACAGAGCTGGATAATCTCATTCAAGTTCTATTGATTTGAATTCGGATTCGAACTGGAGATTTTCTGTTTAACAACTTGGAGCTCTACCGCTAGGCCACGCCATCTCTTCATTTAAAACATTCTTTACCCATGAAAAACTAAAAAAAAAAAAAATCCAGGACAATGAAACGGAGTAGTAAAAATAGTTTCTTTTATTATGGAGAATGACACATTCAGCGTTGAGCAATAAACAAACATCAAGGGACCAGCTTACAAAAGTCTTGTGAAATCAATAGCCAGTTTGTTTCAACATACACCTTGATGTGCTGCCTTAGTTACAACCACACCCCATAACTTGGTGGTTGATTTACTGTATCGTTTTACTAGAATTTTGCAGGCTTTATTATTAGTAATAAAAGATGAATATGTAGCGACATCTTTGTCATATTAGACGAGAGTTTAGTTCAGAAATGTATATCCCGGCGGGTAGGGGAAGGTAGTTGGGACTTTCGGAAAGGGTGGATGGATATTGTTAATTAAGGCGAATACTTTGTATATAAAATATATTTTATTTCTATTGAGTCCGGAGGGGGGGGGGGGGGTTGTAGGGAGGGTTGGCATGACTGTCTCCCTTGAGATATTTTTTGAAAGAAACGCTTTAATTATTGGATACATTTAGGCAGTTTTAATCCGTATGTACATTTAATTATATGTGTATATTTGCCTGTGTTTATTGCGTGTGTGTGTGTTTATGTGTGTGTTTATAAACATGCCATTAGTATAAAAAATAAACGATATCTACACTTTAAACTTTAGGATTGGGTCTAGGATTATCCTTCAGATTAGTGATTTTCCAATGGAGTATATTGACAGCTAAAGTTAGGGTAAAGGTTAGAGTAAATCTTAGGAAAATGATATTTTGGTTTACAAAACTGCTCTCAATGATTCAATTGTAACAATACTTCAAGAAAGAATAATCAGGAAGTGTTGACATAAATAAAATGGCTCACACAATAATACTTCTTTTCATTATACATACAATACATTACAATATTTCAGGAATACAGAAATATAATTACTGCATTTTTAACATTAAATGACAATGCTTAATGTTGGTTGTGTTTTAAAATTAGAATGAAAATACAAGTCACAATACGAATTTGTGAGATTTACTTTTGTAGTTAAAATCTGATAAGCAAGAAAACATACCTTTAATAAAAATACCATATTTTGTAGTCATACAAAAAAATTTACAATTATATATATATATATATGTTCATATATAAATCAGACATCTCAAATGATTCTGGCATATTTACAACAGCAGTAACTTTTTTCGCCATATAAATATCAACAAGTTTTTATTTAGGCCAACCTCTATATGTGGCTAATATTTGAACATAACAATGTCACATTTGTGACTGTGTCAAAATGAACAACTTACTATGCCTAGATTATGCTGATGGCTGTTATTGCACATTAATTTACACTGTAAATTAAAATATTAAACCAATATTTAAAAAGTGTTGAATGAAGTAAAAAGAAAATCTGTGATAGGAAATAAAATAAAACAAACATTTTTATATATTATTATGCAGGCAAAATGAAAAAAAAAATAAGTTAATTTGTGTTTTAGTTTTCTTAAGTTTTCTTATTAAAAAATATATCCTAATAGTCTCTAACTGTGACTGTTTTCAAAAATTTTATTAAAAAAACTATAGAAGAAGTTCTCTATGATCATTTTTATATTTTAGCACACAGTAAATGAAACAATAAACAACAATTTATTAAGGAAATTAAAATAAGTTTTAAAAAAATATTTAGTTACCTTAAAATTTTAAATAAAATGTTCTTTGCCAACTGCCTAAGAACCATTGTATTATTAACTAAACAAGGTGACTAGTTATTAATGCCCTATCTTTCATCCTATATATTAAACATATATTTACAAAAAAAATCCTATTATATTGTACTAGCCAGGTTAAGTTTGGCCATCAAGTTGTTTCAGACATTGTGTTAAATTACTAAGTAAGTATGCTTCCCATTTCAAACCTGATGGTCCATGGGGCAAGTACAGTAGAGTTCACCTGTTTCTGTGACCTCAGCATGAGTTACATACCCTTCAGAGCTGGGTGGATACAGGGACGGTCAATTGACCTGAACCCGGATATGTTTATTTTAACTCAAGCTTGGGGATCTGAACTTCAGAGTTTTGGGTTAGCAGTTGAATGCTCTACCACTGGATCATACCATCCCTGGTGGTGTGGTAGAGCTAATACAACAATTTCTTGTTCAGATCTCATGACTGTGAGTCAATGTGTGCTTGAGAGGGGAGATTAAGATTAGTGGGTAATCCACTGGGATTTAGACTGAGCCTTAACTTGGCTTAAAGATTTTCTTTAGGCTGAGCTCTAAGCTTGCTTTTAGGCTTGCTTTTAGGCTTGGCTTTAAGCTTGGTTTTAGGCTTGGCTTTAGGCTTGGTTTTAGGCTTGGCTTTAAGCTTGGCTTTAGGCTTGGTTTTAGGCTTGGCTTTAAGCTTGGTTTAAGGCTTGGCTTTAGGCTTGGTTTTATATATAGCTTTAGGCTTGGCTTTAAGATTTTCTTAAGGCTGCTCTAAGCTTGGCTTTAGGCCTGGTTTTAGACTTGGCTTTAGGCTTGGCTTAAGGCCTGGTTTTAGGCTAGGCTTTAAGCATGGCTCAAAGCTGGGCTCTGGGCTAAATAAATGCTTGATTGGTCTCTTCATATATAAACATCAATAAAGTCTATAGCCTAATGTTAGGATATGTCCATAACACTCTGTTGTCAGAAAAAATGGTTCATAATTCAGGGGAGGTAACCTACTACATCGTGACATCTATGTAGTATTTTATTGATTACCTCCCATGTCAAATTTAACATTAATTTTGACATAAAATTGGGTTTTCTAGCTGTTTGCTCCAATGATTTACATACTGTTGTCTTTAAGAGGTGTGAATTGGATGTGTAAGGGTTTTGTTGGTGTGGCCAGAATTCTGTACTCAACATCCAACTGTTCATCTGGGTTTGTCAATCTGATTTCAAAGTTTTGAAGGATCTGATGAAGTAAAAAATTATGATAAATAACGACTTAATTTATATTTTAATCAACATGAATAAAATTGGAAAGCAGAATATCTCAGACCCTAGGGTCCATAACCAATGTTCCCTCTAAGGGGGAAAAGATCGTGTGCAATGTGTATTTAGTATGCATGTTGTTCTAAAAGTCTTATACAAGGTTATATGTATTTTACTAAATGACTGGGCTGCAGTTAAAAACTACTGCGCTGATGCAGTTTTAATGGTATAGGATTGTGTTGTTATTGTCCCAGTTGCCTTTAAAATTTAAAACCAAGCTGAATACAAGCTGCGACCCAGACAGGTAAGACACGATAGCTGGGGACAGCCACCCATCTATGAAAAAAACAACTCCAACATCAAACAACTATGCCTTGTAATTTTTTCTTGGATGGACAAAGGCTATGGAAGCAAACCCAAAAACAAAAGCAGGCTGAAATCAAAATCAGCTGCCTATTTGGTGCATAACAGGTTGACACGGTAATTCTGTCTAAAATTACAAATTGGATTGAAGAAGAAATAAGAGTTAGAAAATGAAAAAAACTTGAAACTAGTCACAAAATAACTCCCACATTTCATGGAATAATTGATGACCTGATACATAGAATCCGCCTTTACTGTCTTATTATAGATCCTCAATTTTATGTCTAATTAAAACTTAATATTGAATCTCCTGTTACTGACGTTATATAGAGAAGCCACTTTTATTATTACAGATTCTCAGCATTGTTTGATTAATAGTTAATAGAGAGTCTCCTTTTACTCTCAGAAAATTGTATCAGGTGTTAGACATTTGAGAAGGAAATAATTTTTTATAAGAGAAAGACATCAAATGGAAATGAAAACAAAATAATTTTTTCTTAAATTAGTTTAAAATTTAAGAGAGCTCTACCAGGCAATTAGCTTTAATTAATTATTCAGATTTTATGAAAGCCAGATCAACCAAATTTGATCAAAGCCAGTCTAATCTATTTTGATCACTGTCAGACAAAATTATTTTTATAATTGCAAGATCAACATACTTTGCCTAATGCTGGATAAGCAACTTTGTCAAATGCCAAATAAACCTATTTGATTAATGCAAATAAAGTCTACCTTTAACAAACCAGATCAAGCTACATTGGTAAGTGCCAGATAAATTTATTTTTATCAATGCAAGATAAACATACTTTGCCTAATTGTAGATAAACCTACTTTACCTAAAATCAATTAAACCTATTTTGATTAATGCCAACAGAGACTACGTTTAACAAACCAGACCAACCTACCTTGATCAGTGCCAGATAAATATATTTTTGTCAATGCAAGAACAACATAATTTGCCTAATGCTAGATAAACCAACTTTGTCAAAAGACTACCTTTAACAAACCAGATCAACCTACCTTGATCAGTGCCAGATAAACCTGCTGAGCTTAATGTCAAATAAACCTATTTTGATTAATGCCAACCAACCAGACCAACCTACCTTGATCAGTGCCAGATAAACCTGCTGTGCTTAATGTCAAATAAACCTATTTTGATTAATACCAACCAACCAGACCAACCTACCTTGATCAGTGCCAGATAAACCTAATGTACTTAATGTCAAATAAACCTATTTTGATTAATACCAACCAACCAGACCAACCTACCTTGATCAGTGCCAGATAAACCTGCTGTGCTTAATGTCAAATAAACCTATTTTGATTAATACCAACCAACCAGACCAACCTACCTTGATCAGTGCCAGATAAACCTAATGTACTTAATGTCAAATAAACCTATTTTGATTAATACCAACCAACCAGACCAACCTACCTTGATCAGTGCCAGATAAACCTAATGTACTTAATGTCAAATAAACCTATTTTGATTAACACCAACCAACCAGACCAACCTACCTTGATCAGTGCCAGATAAACCTACTGTACTTAACGTCAAATAAACCAAGTTTGATTAATGCCAACCAACCAGACCAACCTACCTTGATCAGTGCCAGATAAATCTGCTGCTCTGCCAATCTTCTGCCCAAACAGTTCCTCTTACCCAGACCAAATGGCATGGTGATGTAGGACTGACGCCGCCTCAGGGTCGTGTCTATGGCGGTCTGGGACTGCTTCAGCCACCTCTCTGGCATGTACTGCTCCGGTGAATCGAAGTACTCACTGCTGTGACCCAGGCAATTGTGGCCAAAGTTGACTGGCGTCTGAGAGGGCACAATTTAAAAAAAAAAGTTTGATTTTAAATTTCAAAAACCACATTTAAAGCACAAGAACTAACTTGTAATTTCTTTAGATAAAAGTATGTAAAGCATAATTAAAATTTTAAGTACAAGTTCTATACAACAATCTTAAGAAAGACAAATCAATGAAGGCAATGGTTATAGGTCAATTTGCAGTGTTTATTTCAGGTATCTCTCTTTTCACTGACCCCACCATGCTAAAAGTTTTAGTGTCCCCCCCCTCCAACCCAGTTGGATGTCAAAAAGAAACTCTAGACAATGGAGTTTACCCCCAGTATTTCATCCAGACTTTTTTTCTCCGGGTGGGGAGGGGGGGGGGGGGGGGGTCACCTGCTCCGCTCGCCCCCCCCCCCCCCAAAGAGATGCCTAGAAGAAACTCTGTGTACCTCCCCCCCCCCCCCCATCCCTCTACCCTACTAACCTTGCAATTTTGTAATTACTTTATTTCTATTTAATAATAGAAACAATTACTAACATAAAGGACATTAATAATCAGAAATGAAAAATTAATCAGGGCTTGCAATAAATGAAAAGTAAAATTAACAAAACCCATAATAGATAAACATAGTCAAGCTTTTTAAAATTATTACATGCCCTCCCCTCTGCTACGTCACAGAAAGTCAGAATTTCCACCCCCCCCTCCCCCCATCCTTCGTAAGAGTTTGACTTCGTTTATGGACAACTTGAGTGCCCTCCCCTTCTTCTAAGCAACTCAGTGAGCGCCCTTGTTTTGATGTACCTTTAAATTTAAGCGTGCTGATCAAACTTACCCCTGCAGGTATGTGGTAACCGTCTAGCACAATATCCTCAGGTAGCACACGCAGGGAACCAAAAGGTGTGGGGAAGGTGAGTCTGCAACAGGTAGGGCAACAAAACAAGTGAAACGGAGAAATACATTTCTATAAATAGCGACAAGAATGTTTACTTTAAACAAAAAAAAAATCTCCGCGTCACAGACGCAAGGTCAAGGTCAGGTCACGAAATGAAGACAACAATTTAAAAAAAAAAACTTTATTACGTGACTAAAAAAGTCTACAAAATCTGTTTCCACTTAGAAACTCAGAAATCTAGATCTGCATCTAGGCGTATGTATGTGCACAATTTATTAATTGATAAGTATCTTACTTGAGAAAGTTCTATAATGCAAAAGAAAAATGAAAACTAATAAAATGTAACGGTAAATATAAATGATTTCAAAACTTCAAGAATACAGACATATTTCACCAACCCGGATGTGAGAAGTAAAATGTCAACCAGGTCGACCCCCCCCCCCGACCCATCAGATCGACCTTCCACCCCAGCCCATAAGTCGACCCCCCACCCCAAGAGGTCGAACCCCACTTTAGCCCATCATGTCGACGCCCACCCCATCAGGTTAACCCGACACCCCACCTCACCAGGTCACCCCCTATCCCAACCCATGAGGTTGACCCCCCCATCCCACACTATCAGGTTTATCCCACACCACAGTCCATCAGGTCCACCCCACTCCAGCCCATCAGGTCAACCAACAGGTCGACCTTCAACCCACCCCATCAAGTCGACTCCCCACCCCATCAGCTCGACCCCCACAGTTAGGTCGACCCCCACCGTTAGGTCGACCCCCAACCCACCCCATCAAGTCAACTCCCCACCCCATCAGATCGACCCCCACCCCATCATATCGACCCCCCACCCCACGTGTACACTCACCTGTGGCTCTCCTTGAGACACGCCTTCCACCCCAGCCCATAAGTCGACCCCCCACCCCAAGAGGTCGAACCCCACTTTAGCCCATCATGTCGACGCCCACCCCATCAGGTTAACCCGACACCCCACCTCACCAGGTCACCCCCTATCCCAACCCATGAGGTTGACCCCCCCATCCCACACTATCAGGTTTATCCCACACCACAGTCCATCAGGTCCACCCCACTCCAGCCCATCAGGTCAACCAACAGGTCGACCTTCAACCCACCCCATCAAGTCGACTCCCCACCCCATCAGCTCGACCCCCACAGTTAGGTCGACCCCCACCGTTAGGTCGACCCCCAACCCACCCCATCAAGTCAACTCCCCACCCCATCAGATCGACCCCCACCCCATCATATCGACCCCCCACCCCACGTGTACACTCACCTGTGGCTCTCCTTGAGACACGCCTTAAGGTAGGGCAGGTGTGCGAGCTCCTCAGCTGTCACACTCTCCCTAGAACACCCCCAGATCTCTGCCCTCAGTCTCGTCTGCTTCTCCACGTTCTTGGCTAGGTACCACAGCACGAAGCCCAAACTCTTTGAGATCTGCAACAGTCATACGCAGTGAAAGTGATGGACGTCAGGCGCCTTAGGGGTCGTCCATAAATAACGTCACACTCGTAGGGGGGGGGTCCGTAATTTTGTGACGGTGTGTGCTGAGGGGGAGGGGGTTCAGATGTCACTTTTTTGCATTATAAAAAAGCAATGTTAGAAAACGAGCTTTAGCCGTTATTTCGCGTTTTAGAAAACGGTTTTAATAAATTGTAATAGGAATTGATCAAGATTTTGGAAAAATATCGATGTTATAAGAAAAATTTAACAGCAATTTTGAGGGGGGTTGCAGGCTGGGGTGTGACGTCATTTTAGGAAGGGGGGGGGTCTGGCTTTTTGTGACGACGTGTGACTGGAGGGGAGGGAGGGGGTAAAAATCGTCAAAAAAGCGTGACGTCATTTATGGATGACCCCTTAAGCAATATTTTTCGCACGTCTTAAGCGTAGTTATATTCAGACTTCTTAAATGTATCGTTTATCAGACGTCTTAAACATTTTATTTGTCAAACGTCTTAACGAAATAAAATTAAACTTCTTTAACTTATCGTTCATCTGACTTCAAAAATAGATCTTTCGTCAGTCATCTTAAATTAATCACTTTTTGATAATCTCAAACTTATCGTTCATTTAGCACCATACATTTTTCTTTCTTCAATTTATTTTTCGCAAGAATATCGAAAACATTTGTAATTTCATTGGGCACTACACCACTCGTGTGCACTTAATGCTATATTGTATCACATATCAACTTTTCACGGGTTAAGCACAACTAACCCGCTTCCCAAATTGATGCCAATTACATTTCTAAATAGCCAATATTCGACTTTCAAAATAAACACTCATTGTATCCTACTTAAGTTCCATTTACGAACTAGGCAGCCCATGTGACTGGTGAAGTAGAGTTCACATGTTTCTTTGACCTCGGCATATAAATGAATAGCGTGCTCAGCAGTGGCGTAGCGAGGTCGGGTGTCACCCAGAGGCGTAGCGACCCTTCCCGGGGACAAACTTTCAATTTTCGATTTGCACCCCTCTCCCTCAAACTTTTGATTTGCACCCCCCCCCCCCTCCCCCTCAAACTTTCGATTTGCGTCCCCCTCCCTCAAACTTTCGATTTGCACTTCTTAAAACACTATTTAACACTCGAATTAATCACTTATCATTTTTCTCTATATACTAGGCATGCTGCCCAGCTTTGCTTAGGCTTTCGAAAACATTGAGAATTTGAATGCTTAATTAATTCGCCCGAGGATCGGTCTACGACCTCAGGAGTTATGAAGAGGTTCCTCCATGGACATTTTTTTTCGATTTATAGCTCATATAAGGCGCCGGTCAGTCGAGGTCAGTTTTGACCCCATCATCGTAGACTTTTCGGCAAGATCCTGCCAAATTTGAAGCGCCTGCGGCGCCGGGAAGTGCCCTGTCGGGCACCCGACAACTTTGCTTTATATATTATAGAGATTAGCAAATTGCATAGATAAACAAAGATTTCAATAAAGTAATTAAGGCCTGAAATACTTTAGTATAGAAATGTATTATTTGAATAGAGGAATCTAGAATATCTAGATCTAGAATCCAAATAAATAAAATAAATTTTATGAGTTTAGGCCGGAAAAATTGTATTGTATACATTTCATAGTGTACGTAGATCTAAATCAAATTTGAATGAAATAGTTCATTTCTTTTTATTCTAAACACGGCAGATGACGTCATTAGTTAATGTATAAGCAATAGTGACGTCACAGTTTTATGCGTTCTTTTTCACATCTATTAATGCTTTTCCGGTTGCATAAATAATACTGTTTCTCTACATTCGAATACGCCTTTAATTTTTATTTTTCTTCTTTAAATAAAATTGTGGTTATACATTTAAAACATCTAACATATTATTTTCAACAAAAGTCCGTATAAAGTTCTCCATATATCGCTACCGTTTCTGACGTGATGTCCGGCGAAAATATTTTGCAGACAGACAGAGAGTGAGAGAGAGAAGTGCGCACATGGGGAATTATATATTAGTATATCTCTATATATTTTGCTATTTGTTTTGCCTTGGTGTTACCCCCCTAAATGGTGTCACCCGGTGCGGTCGCAACCCCCGCTTCCCCCCCCCCCCCCCCCGCTACGCCTCTGGTGCTCAGCACTATGCCCCGCCGCCTTTACTTTCCCTACCGTGAGATAAGTACCCATCAGTTGGTTGGACGTTCTACTGGCTTAAACCCGGCTAAAAATTACCGCGACACTCACGTTTTCGGTAGCAGCCGAGAAGAATCCGGTCACCAAGGAAACGCAGAGGTCAAGGTCGATCCGCCCGTCCTGGAGTAGAGACTGGAGCAGGTTTGGTTCTTTGCCGGGTTCCTGGGGTGTGTTTTTCATGGACTTGGCGATTTCCAGAACTTGCTGGTGGATGACGCTGGAAATAAAGGATGGGTTGTTGTCTTAATTCTAGGTCGCCAAACACGTCATCAATTTAGATGTGAGTGTGTGTGTGTGTGTGTGTGTGTGTGTGTGAGTGTGTGTGTGTGTGTAAGGGGGTATGGTTGGTGGATGACGCTGGAAAGATGTGTTGGTGGTGTCTTGACTGGTCGCCAAACACGTCATCAATTTAGATGTGAGGGTGTGTGTGTGTGTGTGTGTGTGTGTGTGTGTGTGTGTAAGGGGGTATGGTTGGTGGATGACGCTGGAAAGATGTGTTGGTGGTGTCTTGACTGGTCGCCAAACACGTCATCAATTTAGATGTGAGGGTGTGTGTGTGTGTGTGTGTGTGTGTGTGTGTGTGTGTGTGTGTGTGTGTGTGTGTGTAAGGGGGTATGGTTGGTGGATGACGCTGGAAAGATGTGTTGGTGGTGTCTTGACTGGTCGCCAAACACGTCATCAATTTAGCACGGATGTAGTTGCAACATAGGATTGGTAGGTTGGTCTGGTTGGTTGGTATTAATCAAAATAGGTTTATTTGACATTAAGCACAGCAGATTTATCTAGCACTGAACAAGGTAGGTTGGTCTGGTTTGTTAAAGGTAGTCTTTTGACACAGTTGGTTTATCTAGCATTGGGGGTGGGGGTCAGGGGTGGGTGGGGTGTGTCTGGTGGATTACGCTGGAAATAAAAGATGTGTTGTTGTTTTCTTAAGACTGTTGCCAAACACGTCACCAAACACTGCAGTAGTTGCAACATGGGGGGGGGAGGGAGGGGGGGGGGGGTGAATAAGGAAGTGGGTGGTAAGTAAATTAAGTCTGTGGATTTTATTCTCAATTAGTGTCTAGTTTTGATGTGTAAGACGGTGTCAGTATCATTCCGAACCTCAGCAATTGTGTTTCTAACAGTTTATTTTTCTACGTTGTTTATTTTTTTTCCGGTTATTTGCGGACAGACAAGATTGAAAAACTAAAAGTTGTTTCCGACCCAAGGAAGTGTAAAACATCGAGTTTTGTGAAAATCGGGATTTCTGTTTTTGTTTTCTAAAACCAGATAGGAAAAAAAATTGAAATTTAAAAAAAAAAATAACAAAAAAATATTTCTATTTCCCGATAGCACTGGAAGCGCCCCCCCCTCCCCCCGCCTCCTTATTGTTATATATGAATATATATGAAAAAATATTTTTGTAGGAAATAAAATGTAAATTTTATCTGTTTATAAAAAAAGCAACAACTAATTGAGGTATTTTATCTTCACTATATCTTTAAAAAATAATCAAATATTATTAAACTTCCTCTACACATTTTAAAATTCTTGAAAATGTAATAATTAAATCATAAAATAATTTCTTAATCCAATAATCCACACATCGCTAATTGAAATCAACGAGGGATTAGTTTTCTTGTTACTAGTACATTCCCTCCCTACTTCTCCATGTAAAGTCCATGTAGGTGGGCGGGGCCATCGATGGGGTCATTCGCCACTAGGACATCGTCAATGAGTTTTTAAAAAATAGGTCAGCCTCGTTTTGAACTTCTAGACAGACGTTTTTATATTTTAAAGATTAGAAGAAAAGAAAGCAACGAGGGAAAATGAGTTTTTTTTCATATCTCGTTTTTTCTCATACAAATCGATTTTAGCAGGTTTTTTTTTTAAAAAAAGAAAAATTCAACGTCTAAGAAAATTTTAAACCAATTATCTGGTTGGCGAAGTCTTTTTTTAAATGTAATGCGCGAATTTGTTGAGTGGGTCGTCGTAACTTGGATGGACCCAGAACGCTAAGAGTTCAAGAATAATTTTGTTTTGTATTTTCAAATTTAAACTTTAGTAAAAAAAAAATAACAACACACGATTAAAATGAGACAATATTAAAGCAGTTATTTGATTGAAAGGTTTCTTTCAAAGTATTTTTTCCCCGTGAAATGGAATATCTATAACTGCCGGTGGTGGGGGGGGGGGGATTTCCTTATTAAATTTAATATATATTTATTACAGTCCAGGTGCAGAGATGTTGTATAAAGATGTAGTGCCTCCCCGGAAAGATGTTTAAAATAAAGAAACTACAACGGTTTTGAAATGTTTTGGGATCCGAACTCGAGACTTCGATTTTGATATTAATACCTCTAGCGCTCTACCAGTCGTTTCTTTTTTTTTAAAAATTAGATATATCCTATAGCGAGTTTAGGTGCGTGGATTCGACAGGTTTGTGGGCGGGGGGGGGGGGGGGGGGGCAAGAGTGAGGAGAAGGGCGTACGTTGTTGTGGTAACTATTAGCGTGTGGTGGTTATGAAATGTAAGCAATGCGCTGTTTAGCACAAAGTTGATCTCAGGGGAGAGGGCACAGACTAGGGCGCGTCCAATGTCCGACCCACCACCCCCCTAACAAGTTAGTAAAAAAAAAATAGAAAATATATAGACCTATTTTAATCAGTAACCGCCTAACACAGGAAATTCCCCCCACTCCCCAGGAGAAAAAATGTCTGTGATAGACACTGGTTTAGCCATCTTATGATGTTAATTATGGCAATTTCGTATTTATTTCAATACCAGACTGATTTCCTTACGAACTAGCTTTATCCATACTGAACATTAAATATTCATTTTAAAAATATTCAATGGGGGGGGGGGGGTTGAACATATTCCATCAAAAGCAGTAAGCTAATTGTCAAATTGCTGATTTGCTTATTTCATGACGCCTTGAGACAATTTCAAATATTTGAGAAAAAAAAAAAGGTTTAACCTTTTCACTCGTAATTTTTTAATGTTCTTACCAATATAAACGTGCATAAAAATGAAAAGGCCTGGAAAGTTTTGAGGCTGGGGAAATCAACTCAGCTAGGAGAGAATATTCCTAAATAGACAACTGCCTTGCAGATAGTTCTTGATTGAACTAATGCTATGGAAGCGAATGCGGTAAGACAAACAGCCTGAAGTCAGATTGTTGTCAATTAATGTTCAATATGTGTGAGATAAATATAAAGCGCATGAGTGGAATTCCAAACGAAGGCCAAAATGAGAGAGTCCATGAAAGACCTGAAGACAGAGCCTTCTTGAAGAACTAAAGACGGCAGGGGTTGCTGGGAGAGTGAAAAGCATCGCCTGGGACCGACCAAAATGGAAGATAATGGTTAAGGCCATATGCTCTACAAAAATTAAAGAGGTCTAAGACAAGTAAGTGAAAGTAAAAAAAAAAAAAAATTCTCTTTAGACCTAGTGATCCATGTGTGCAGATGAAGTAGAGTTCATAGGTTTCTCGACCACAGCTTATAAAGGGAAGGTGTGGTCATCACTTTGCCTAGCAGCTTGTACTTCCATTTCATGAGTTCAGTACCCATTAGAGCAGGGTGGACTCAGGGTCATTCTACGGATTTGGACCCGGGTTTGAACTCGAGACTTCGCATGTTAGTAGCCTAGCACTCTACCGCTTAGACCATGCCATACTTATGACACGATTTTTCTTACTTAGACAAGTAAGTAAAGTCATTTAGGAAGAAACCTATCCGATATTAGAATCAATAATGAACAAAGAAAATAATTGCTACTTATTTATAGGCTTTATGAACACAAACGTTATAATCAAGATAAATATGAAGCAAGAAAAGAGAGACCAATAACCAACTCAAACACCTACTTCGCTAAGTACTGCTGGGCCATCTCGAAGTCGTTGTATAGCTTTGTCCTGAAGAACTTGTACAGAGGGAAGGTGTAGTACCCGTTCCCTACTGTGGACATGAACACCTGAACCATCTCCAGGAACTTGGTTCTCTCTGCCTCGCTCATCGTGATAGGGCTGGCCTCGTTCTGGCTCGGTTGGTCTCTAACGCCAGAGTAGGTCTGGTGGCAGGCTGGTTCAGTTGGTAGAGCAGGTTGATTGCGTTGTTGGAGGAAACCTAGCCTGGTGTTGACACAGTATAGAGCGGAAGCTAGGGAGGTAAATGGAGTGTAAGACGTTAAGTTTGGTTGTCAACGACTACAAGTTAAGTACATATAAGTTTATTTTAATTAAAAAAAAAACAAAAAACAAATACAGACTATAACTAATATATTAAAAAAATAAAAAATAAATAAAAAGTAAATCATAAAAAATGCTACGGCGTGGTCGAATGATATAGCAATTGAATGCTAGTTCGTAAGTCTCGAGTTCGTATACCTGGCTAGATTCGTATCACCAAACTCAAATAGGTACCTGCCATGATTTAAGAAAAGTAAAAGAAGCTGTGCATAATGTTGACTACACTATCCCTTCATAGACCAAAGTCGCAGAAACAAGTGAGCTCTATTTCACTTGCAATGTAGGCGACCAGGTTCGAAAGGGAACTTTACTTAAATTTATCTATATCAGTTAATCGGGCAATATAATTTAGAATGCACTAAGATTGCAAGGTAGATACTGATACAGTTGCGTGCAGAGATCTTTAATTTACAAACAATAGACATCCAACCAAGACTCACAGACAGGGAACTACAGTTAAAAATCACTGGTAGAAAACATACATATAAAACTCACTAAAAAGGAACATTCAACGTAGACATAATGACACGAAAACATATGTATTTAACTCAGTGACATAGAACAAGAATCTCCAATACCAGAACAAACATCCAATTTCAAATCAATAACAGGAAATATTCAAATTAAACAGAAAGGCAGGAACTTAGGAACTTCTAACACTCAATGAACACCCAACATAAACTCACTAACACAGAACTTAAAACTTACATTCAATCGCGTATCTGAGCATGAGATCGGCTAGGGGAACTGGTTTGTTCTGGGCATGCAGCTGGGCAATGACCCCTGCCAGATCCCTGGCGGTGTTGTTCAAGACTGGCGTGTACTGGTTGGTCTTGGATGGTTGCAGCAGGAACTCCTGGATAGGTTTTCTGGCACGGAGCCACTCCTCGCCTTGTCTGGAAGATGATCAAACAATATTAGAGAAAATAAATCCAGTGAAAGGAATGTTAGATAAACAAAAATCTCATCTTTGATATTTATTTTTATTGTGTTAAATGACTCGAATACAGTCAAACTGCATTTAGGTGATATTGGGGATAGTTCACACTTTGATATCAAGGTATATTGGTAGTTTGAAGTGCTATGAATAAGGAAGGCTTCTAGGTTTGAGTTAGGAGTGCTAGATATGTGTATACCAGTAGCTGTAAAAAAAAGGGGTAAAAATTGCAAGACTTCAATCTCGCATTGTCTCAAGGGGTCATCCATAAATGGATCATCAAAATTGCAGTTGCATTTTACTTAAAACATCGATATTTTAAAAAATCTTGTCAGAACTCTGTCAAAATGTATTTTAATCAATTCCTATTGCAATTTATTAAAAAAAGTTTTCTAAAACGCGAAATAACTTCTAAAATTCGTTTTCTAACACTGCTTTTTTATATTGCAATAGTGTGACGTCGCACCATCTGACCCCCCCCCCCCTCCCCCTCGTCACACACCGTCACAAAATTACGGACCCTCCCCCCTACGAGTGTGACGTCATTTATGGACGACCCCCAAGGCATTTTCTACAATCTGATGCATGCTGATTTATACGATACCTTTACTTGACCCTGACTTAATATTCGCGTGGAAAATTAAAATAACACAGCTCTAACTAAATAGGAATTCGCTGATAACTGGGTTATTAAAATATTCAATGCCAGAATATAAAAAGAGATAGGCTTACTAAAAATATAAATACCAAAGCTATCCTATAACTCAATCCTACACTAAACTATTCAAATATTAATCATCTAACACTGTGAAACACTGACATTTTATATAACTCTAAGTAGTCAAAAACAGAATGAACTATTCTAATATTAACCAACTTGTCTTGTGAAACATTACCCCCTGGACATTCCCCTCCCTGTATTAACCCCCCTATCAATTACCCCCCCCCCTGGGAAATTACCCCCCCCCCCCCATCCACCAAGATAGAATCCTGATTCTAATTCCAACTCTATACCAATATATTACCTTCATCCTAACCTTACGACAAAGACGAAAACCTAAGAATTCACCTCACCCTAGAATAAACTCAAAACCAAACCCAACTCTAGACATTATTTAAGCCTAACCCTGATCCTAACACTAACCCTAACCCTAACCATAACCCTAGCCCTAACCCTAGCTAGCGCTAACCCTAGACCTAGCCCAAACTCAAACCATAGTTCTAACCCTAGCTGAACCTTAAGCTATGATCGGGGGGGGGGGGGGGGTGAGGGGGTAATGTCCGGGGGGGGGGGGGGTAATTGACGAGGGGGAAATGCCCTGTTCCCGTTTTAAAAGCGAAACTTACAATTGACTGATGCCTTTCCGGCATCCGGTCCTCTCCGTGCAGGCGTCAGAGAGAGGTGGGGACGGCCTGATGGGGCAGGTGCCCTCATAGGAGATGGCCTCTTGGATGAGGTCGGGGTCGAAGAGCAGCACGCTCCACTGCAGGCCCTTGCGGAACTTGACGATACGCCCGTACTTCCGGTGGAGCTCAGCGAACAACTCGGGGCATTTCTCAGGCTTGTACTTGGCTGTGGAGAGACAGAGACAGTGCAATCTTTGGGGGTTTGAACAGTGCTTCTTTAAGGCATTTTTTTGTGGAGGGGGGGGGGGGCACACTCTGGACACAGATGCATGTATATATTGTCTTTATAAATTCTATTTCGTTCGGTCTCCCCCCCACCCCCGTTCCCGAAGTACGAAATATAATTTATACAGAAAATATATTATACAATTATCAGTGTCCATCCCCCTCCACCCTAAAAATGTAGTTTCAAGCGCCCCTCCTCCCACTTTCGGAGACAAAGTCTGAAAGAAACACTGGTTTTGAGGTATTCAAAAGGGTTTGACTTCACAATCTTCATCTTTACCCCTTTGTGCCCAAGACAATGGCCAGATGAAGTATAGTTCATATTTTGCAATGACCTCACTATATAAATGGATAGTGTGGGCAGCACAATACCCAACCACTTTTGTCTCTCTAACGTTAATTATGTATTCATCAAAGCTAGGTTGACACTTTTGTTACTTCGGGTTACTCGTCGTAAGCACTACCATTCGACCACGCCATCCCTAATAGTCTGAATTAATTATACCGAATTAACCTCTAATGTATAATGGAGTACTAATCAAATTTATAATAAAAAACTATACATAGCAGTTGAGTCCCTTATTTGTGGTTATAGTCTCCCTTGGTTGTGTGCATGGGCTATTAAATAACAGGTGTCCTTTATTTCTACATAGTTGTAGCCCTTGGTTGTGTGTACTTTAATATGAAGGTAGTCAGTTGACGTGTGCTGGGATGAGTGTTAGTGTGTGACAGGTATGTCGATGTGTGCAAATTGACCGGGTGTGTAAGATATGTGCGTGACGCAGAAGATTGTACTATCCTTTTATTATTATTTTAGTATCTGTTATTTCGTATATTTATCTTACAAACTTTTATAATTTTTCTCAGTATTATTGTCTTTAAGCAGATGACATGCTGTGTTGTATGTTGTACTTTCTATTGTTTTTATATTCAACTCACGATTTAAACCCAGACAAATACTAAGGGCAATAATTCACTGCAGGGGTAAAGGGTGATAATTACCTATCACCTTACTATGTAGACCCGGACAAACGCTGAGGGCAATAACTCATTGAAAGGGGTGAAAACCCAGGCAAATTCCAAGGGGAATAACTCACTGAAGGGGCAACCCCACACCCCTCACCCTGGCAAATTCTAAGGGCAATATCTCACTGAATGGGCAACCCCCCCACCCCTCACCCTGGCAAATTCTAAGGGCAATAACTCACGAAGGGGTAAAACCCCCAACAAGCACTAAGGCAAAACACCTGTCAAACACCGAGGGCAATAATTAACTGAAGGAGTAAAACCCTGACAAACACTAAGGGGAAGAACTCACTGAAGGGGCGAAAAAGGAACATGGAACTGATGTTTACCCTTAGACTCACACTCTAAACCCCGAACAAACTGTAAGGGTAACAGCTCACTTAAAGGGATGAAACCCTCGACAAACTCTAAGGGCAATAATTCACTGAATGGATAAAACCCCTGACAAACACTGAGGACAGTAACTTACTGAAGGGGTGAAACAGGAACATGGAGCCGATGTAGGGCAGACCGTAGATGCCCTCAGGTCCCGGCATGTCATCCAGTGTTTTGTAGGTCGTGGCCTCGTCTGCTTTGGTGGCACCGACCTTTGCCCTCGCGTCATGCGTCACAGATGGCGAGTCGACTCTGAAAGAGAGATTAGCGGTTTCATAGGTGTGAGTTGAAGTATGACTGAAAAGGTTCAGCGTCTTTGAAATATACTTCACCCAACGAACCTACCAACCCCCGTTTCACCCAACGAACCTACCACCCCCGCTCCACCCAACGAACCTACCAACCCCCGCTTCACCCAACGAACCTACCAACCCCCGCTTTACCCAACGAACCTACCAACCCTCGATTCACCCAACGAACCTACCAACCCTAGCTTCACCCAACGAACCTACCAACCCCCGTTTCACCCAACGAACCTACCAACCCCCGCTACAACTTAGGCATCTAAAATTTCTAAATTGGGATTTTTTGCCAAAATACATTCGCGGCTTACTTAAAATGAAACATCGATATTTCAACAGCGAATATCCTTTCAAACGATACGACCTCAATATCACACTTCAAAAATAATTTATCGATTTACTTATGTTATAAAGATATTAACACTAGCTGGATAAAAATAATATTTCTGCCGTCTAAAAACATAAATGTGACTTTTAAAGTGCGTGTATTTATCGGGTACTATAAACTTAAAGCAAACTTTTCTCAGAGCAATTGAAGAGAATCAATAGGCTCTAATATAAACTTAGTTCTTGTGTCTTGGATGTTTGGTTAAGGGTAATCCATAACTGATGCTTTTTTGTGTTGACTTATTACCTTCCCTTTATAACTCTCCAACTGTCCCATAAAATTATCGCAACAAAAACCATTCCGGACATTAAAATGATGTCACACCCATCTCAGCCTATAACCCCTCCCCCCATTTGCAATTCCACCTTAAATATTTTTTAAAGTAGGTCATCATACCAATGAATTCACCCCCTCCTTCCCTCCCCCCACTTCCCCTTGCCAAAAACGTCACAAAAATTACACCCCCCCCCCCTATTCTTCTAGGTGTGTCACGTCGTCAATGGACGACCCCTCACACACCAAACCTTGTCAAAAAAACAAACAAACAAAACAAACAAACAAACCAAAACGAAAATGATACTACATTTTTTTCAGTGGAGTCACAAACGCTAGTGTGATGGTGAGGATCACATCTGGCGTCACACAACCAAGTGACGCCAATGATTGACGCACATATTTTCTACCTACAATATGTATGAGTTTTGCTGCAAAAGCGACGTTTACGCCTTAATCAACAGATAATTACTGGGACCCCTGCTACGGTGTAACAGGCCGTGAATATTCATGTCTTGATGTTTGTTGATGGTAATCATCTTTTACGACATCAAAAAGATGAGATGTCTGAGTGAAATTAGGAAAACCGATTTCTTATCTTAATAATAAAAATAATAAATAAATTTCATGGTCAGCGTAGAGGGTCATTGGCCCGGCTAAACCGACCGGTTATATATATATATATATATATATATATATATATATATATCTATATATATATATATATATATATATATATATATATATACATATATATATAAATATATATATATATATATATATATATATATATATATACATATATACATACATATATATATATATATATACATATATACATATATATATATATATATATATATATATATATATATATATATATATATATATATATATATATATATATATATATATATATATATATATACATATATATTAAATATATATATATATATATATATATATATATATATATATATATATATATATATATATACATATATATAAATATATATATATATATATATATATATATATATATATATATATACATATATATATATATATATATATATATATATATATATATATATATATATATATATATATATATATATATATATATATATATATACATATATACATATATATATATATATATACATATATATATAAATATATATATATATATATATATATATATATATATATATATATATATATATATATATATATATATATATATATGTGTGTGTGTGGTGACAGGACAAATGATCTCAGGACAAATGATCTCAAGGACAAAATATACCAGGACAAAATATATATTGCTCTAAGTTATGTCTCTAATTATTTTTAAAATATGATATGAAATGTAGGTGAACTTATAAAAATGATATGTTATAAATGAAACTTCAAAAAGGTTTGATATTTAGGTTTGATATTTTGCGGTGAAATAAATCCAACGATTGTGAAATGTTTTGATGACACTATAGAGAAAACATTAATCAAGCTGGCCTTTTAATAACATAGAAAATAGGAACTCATGGAAAATTCATGAACCCACTTATTTCCAAATATAGAATTTAATAGCGATTGTTAAATTTGTTTTACTTAATTAAAAGGATGTAAAAAGAATTATAGAAATTGAAATTAATTTTTCAAAAAAAAAACTGTTAAAATATATTTAAAATGTTATTTTACAAAATTGTAATAAAAACCAAAATAGTATTTATTTCGGTCAAGTAGACATAGGCAATCTGCATAGGTCATATTAGGCAGGCTAGTTTCGTAACCGTGTGTGTGTGTATGTGTGTGTCTGTTTGCCTTTGTGTGGGGGGGGGGGTGGGTGGTGTATTGTGTTTAGCGTGTGGGGTAGGTATTTTCTCTTTTTATCCACCCAATGGGTCGTAGTGGTCGGGCCGGTAAAAGCTCATGGCTAAACCATAAAGTCCCCAGTTCGAATCCACCGGCACATGAGGTTCAATAGCTGGGGGAAAGACACACATCTAATAGAGAAAAACTCTAAAATCAAACAACTGCTGCCTCGTAGTTCGTTCTTGGATGGACAAAGGTTATGGAAGCAAATCCAAAAAGAAAAGCAGGCTGAAATCAGAGTCAACGGCCTATATGGCGCATAGCATGTTGACACGTAATACATCATTGTGTTGGAGAAAATCCCTTCTCATCTGACAATAGGGCTGGTAAGTAGGTCACCAACCAGTTCTATGGCTCATGCAGGTTTTATTGAGCCCGTAGAACTGGTTGGTGACCTACTTACCAGCCCTATTAGTGATAAAGAAAAAGGTCCACCTGAGTATAGAGATATTCTGTCACCATTACAGCACATAGTAGGCCTATATTATTTTTTTTTCTCCGAATGCTAGGTACCTAATTACAGCTCAAGCACCGTCAAAAATTTGTAAATATCCGAAATATAAACCTCCGTAGAGAATGTTATAGTTACAGACCTTCATAAACAGATGCCTTAGACAGATTTTGTAATTGAGATGGCAGGACAAAGTGCCGAACATAGAATTATGGAGGAAAGCTAGGCAGGAGCCTATGACTGCAAATAAGGAGGAGGAAGTGTTGCTGGGACACACGCTGCGAAAGGCTCACCCAAATGTGACACGGCCAAGCGCTTGAGTGGAACCCCCTGGGAAAGCGGAAGAGAAAGCGCCCAAGACAGACCTGGAGGCGGAGTCTTCTTGAAGAACTGAAGCCTACAGCAATGTTTTGGGACATTGCAAAATTGATAGCCGGGGATCGGATGAAATGGAAGGAAATGGTGGAGGCCCTATATTCCATAAGGAGCAAAGAGGACTAAGTCAAGTCAGTCAGGTAAGTCAAGTCATAGAGAATGTTCATGCATTTTAAAATAATAACAAAGCTTGAAACGCTTTGTAATTTCAAAAAAAATATCATACACTTACAATATTTCAGTCCATTAATATGAAATAAAAAAAAATAAAAACAAAGGGTAAAATAAAAAAAAAAAAACGGCAAAAGATCAAGAATGTCTTACCTGTATGGTCTGACGCAGCAGACTACAGCCTCGCTGCTACTGGGTAAATTAGAGATCAACCGTCCCACTCGTATCGAGAACATTCTAGAAGTTTTAAGAACTACCAGTCACTGCAACTAATTCTGTCAGAGAAAAAAAATATTTAAAAAAATCATTAGGCAAGTTCAATTTTACTCGGGGATTAATTAACAAAATGTCCGAGCCACATTTTTCTAACAAAAATGATGGGAAAAGTAAATTTATTTACTATCCCTGCTCCGGTTCTCTTTTATACGGCCATGGTCGACTAGAGAAACTGCTCATTAGCCCAGTAAACTGGAACAGGGTTAACAATCGAGCACTTCTCTCACCCGTGTTACCAGCAATGTTTCCTCTAAGCGGCGCGGTTGCGCGGCCGCGCAGTAGTTTTGAGCCTGCCGCGCGGTCATTTTTAAAAATACTTATACCCTTGTATATGACTATTAGAACACAGCGCACGCAAAATACACGTTGTATACTAGATTTCCCCTGAGAGAGAATGTTGGTAATGTGAATTTCTGCCAGAATTTCTGAGGATCCGAACATGTGACAGCGGGCAAGCTAACTGCTAGACCATGCCGTGTCTACCATCTCTGCTAATCATGCACACACAAATTTAAGCCGTTAAAAAAAAAAGAAGAGCTTAATCCACAACACACGCCTACCATCGAACACAAACACAGGCACTCTGCGGGCCGACGTGGTCTAGCAGTAGAGCGCTAGACTGATAACCCGAAAGTCTCCTATTCGAATCCGGGTTCAAGTCAGTGTAACTTTCCTGAGTCCACCAAGTTCTATTTTAAAATATAATAAGCAGGCGTCAAAATAAGGTTTTTCAAAAAAAAAAAAACACGTTCACTTAACGTTTATTGTTTAGGATTAGTCTGCGAAAACAAGATGTAGACGACAGTTATATAATTGTTATATCAGGATGTCCTAATTTGACTGAGTCAGACGCCCAGACACTTCCCACCGCGCATGCGCGAAGATGACGCGATACAATTAAAAAAACGGATATATTTATATATTTTGTTTTTGAAAACAAAAGAAACGGTGTCTTGTTTCGTTTATTTCTCATGTCAACAGGAAGTATTAATGCAATCATTTAAAACATGACTCATATGACTTATTTGTCTTCAAATTGTATCAGTCTGGCGGCTAAACTTCTTTATATTATTTGTTACAGTTTCTCCCAGGGAAGGGAGTGGGGGGGCGGGGGGGGGGGGAATTTCCGGGTTTTGG